ATCCTTCATATTTCCTATAAAATCCTCATACATCCTGCAACTTTCTGTATCGCTTTCTGATGTGCCAGAATTCATTTAGATATAATATAGTATATTACGTTATGAGTGTGGAAAGTGACATTTTCACACAAGTGGGAAATATTGTTGCATGAGGCACAAGCCGAGTGCGACTATCACACGAGAGTGGAAAATCACTTTTCACACAAGTGATGTACAATATTTTTCCTACGACCACAAAATAATTTCATCAAAAAATGTAAAACCAGGTTATTATTATAACAATTAAAATGTATTTAAAAAAAAATTCAACAATAATCGTATTTATTAAATTTTCATGTTTTCTAAGCGAAAAAACCTAAAAAACCAAAAAAATAAAAAAAAAACAAAAAAAAATTCTGCCCCCGCAAGAATTTGAACGCGGTCGCCCGCCAGATCTCAACTAGCATAGTTGATAAAGTTTGATACCTCTAACACCTGAGCTAATAGACCTTGCGTCAATTGAATGATCTAATCGGTTATGTGTTTAACCAGAATAAAAAGCAAATATAACTTAGTTATTTTAATATTGTTAAAGATAAATATCTATGATCTAATTTACAACAATTTCAATAATTTAACAATCATATCGATTTTAGTATTAATATGGACATTACATAGATCAAAATAGAAATGATGCGTTTGACATTTTGTGACAGCTGATGCGGAAAGTAGCATATTCGCACACGGGTGGAAAGTAAATTCTTATTCATACGCGTGTGATATAGGGCACTTTCCATAGGACTATATAAGTGGTTGTAGGAAAAATATTTAATATAAATATATATAATTTTCCAAACCCTATCTTCACTATATGTTTTTCAAGGTAAATCATATTAGCTATTTGTGTATTAAGAGCGAAAAGTGATACTTTGCCGCTTGAGTCAGAAAGTTGTCCGCGCGACCCGTAGCGAAGTGCGGCATTCTGTCGAAAGCGGCAACGAACTTTTCGCTCAAATGCACACAAGATTTTTCTACCAGCACATTATTTTAAGAAATATATATAAAAACTGAAAATTTGTCGTAAGTAGTGTATAATGTGTTGCCTATATCTACGTTAATCATGAAAAAAAGAGTCGATATCCAAAGTCTATGTTAATATGGATAATAAAACAAAAAACATGTAACTACGTACAAATAACTTGAAAATCATTTATTACAAAGAAATATATTATAACCAATTTAAATTAAGCAAGCAACAAAGCTGTCAACTTTGTCACTTACTGTCATTTCGCAGGAAACCGTCAACTTTGCGTTTGAGTTTGTAATTTGAAGCGCGAAAGCCTACTTTGGATAGTAATCGTAGAAAAAGTACCTAATTTACTTGCCACCTTTGTGTGACTAAAAAGTGACAATACGACTAGGGCCATGTTAATATCTTTTATTTATGGAAAAATTTGGATTAAATTTGGATCAAACATAGACATTATTTCAAATTGACACACATACTTAAATAAAATGGCCGACTTCCGGTTTTACCGGACATGCCATCGAGTTTGATTTTTTAAATGGAACATCATTTATAATTTGTTTTTTGGAATCAAAGGGTCAAATCAACTAATCTGTGTAGATCAGTGGTCAAATCATATATGACAATGTTACCAGTTTTTATCTTTCCCAATATTTTTTTTTGTATTGAAGGCCGTGAACTGGAAAATAATGTTCATATTGTCAGATTGGTAATAAAATTATCCATCTAAAGGCGAAATGGCCATCAATAATTCCATTTTTTTTAAAGTGAGATTGTGGTAAAAGACGACGTGTTTTAGAAATTTTATTTTTTATCGGAAACATTTATTTTTAACTCAATTGGTAAAATTGTTTTTATTTTGAGTAATTCGAGGCTAGTTAATGACTTTTTTAGTAAAAAAAAATTAAGTTAAAAGAAAATTTGGCAACACTGTCATGTAATTTGAAGTGTAGATTCAAAAAAAAAACGTAAAATCAAATAAAAAAATAAACTTAATATCATTTTTGGTTAAATCGGAAGTCAGTCATTATGTTTAAATATAAGAAGTGTCAATTGAAAATTATGTCTAGTAGGTCTGTCCAAAATTTGATCCAAGTCGCTTTATGTGAAAAAGAAATTAATGTGGCCCTGTCTCATTGTCATTCTGTATACACAAAACCATGTTAAAACATGAACATGTTTCGGCATACATAGTTTATTGGAGTTTTTGTGATAGTTTTAAAATCGAGAAAAAGTTTTGTTCGATATAAATTTCTTTGTCTTTCAGATCATTCTTAAAATGTTTGATTCCATTTTTTGTTGTCTGGTATTAAAGTAAACTTTGTCAATATTTAAAAAAATGTATATTTCTCAGGGACACACTAAAGGGGTTAAAAAAAGGCGAGGGGACGATAATATAAATTATAGATATTTTTATTCACCATTCTACACAAGTTTAGCTAGTTACCTGTGTTCACTTATTTTTGTATGAACCTACCTATAAACTTTATGATATACAGCTTCGTCACACAGTTGGATACATATGGAAAACTTTTTTATATGTTTCGCAGGAAATGTTTATAAAGTTTGGGCACGAACAGAAAATAATTTTGAACTCTTTGAAATATGTGTTCAATATACAGGATGTTCTAAAAAAAGTATGACGATACAAAATCAAAAAGCTGCTTGAATCGAAATGACATTTTTAGCTAAATTATGAAATTTTTTGGTTTCGTTTTTGAGTCTTTTCAACGAATTAAACATTATGTGGGAGCTGTTGTGCCCATGAAGTGGCAGAGTAAACCTTAATTTGTTGTACTTATTAGTAATAAAATTAAAACTAGTTTATTTCTATTTTATTTTAAGCGAGGAAGTGTTTAGGGCAGACAAGGGTTACCTGTGAAAATTAGATTAAAGCATAAAAAATTAAGAGAATGCTGTGCAAATGGTTAGTCTGAAATGAAAAATTCTTGTCCAGTCTTCATTTAGAGAAGATTTCTGACAAAAACACCCGGGAGTACTTACTTATGATAGTATTTATAGTTTGCCTCTAGAACTAGATTGTTCTGAAGAGAAGCATGTCTTGACTTTGAAGGCCACGCTGCCATGTTTTGGAAATTTCGGAAATTTTAAAGTTGTTGTATAGCGCTGAAATTTTGCAGGAATACTTAAATAAATGCTGTAATGAACATACCCGAATTTAAATTGAATCGTATGCTAGCCTGCTTTAGGGAATTTAAAATACTTTTACAGTTAGGTATTTATTCTCTTTACATGTTTCTCATATTACATAACATCTTAGAAATTATTATTATTATTATTAGCGAAGCGAGCTAGGATATGTCTCGATTAAAATTTGAATATGTTCATCAAAGTATTTATTTAAGTACCAATGCCAGCAAAATAAAATGTTTACGAATTTCTTAACCTAAGATCTCGTTCCTTTAATTGCATCTCATTCATGAAGTATTAACATTAAGAATAAGTGCTTTGGGGAACATGAACTAGAATTAATATGTGATTGACGGAAGCATTTTTTTCTAATCGGTTTTTTTTAAGAAATATATTTGTGTAACAAAATAGGGGTAATTTTGATGAAATTTACAAACGTCAGCCGATTTTGAGCGCTTGCCATTCCAATAATTGTCTAGCTATAAAATCAAACAAAAAACTATAGTAAAGTGTATTTATTCAGTTATAATGCCATTTTTTCACATTTTTAATGCAACCATTCATTTGGCTCATAGCGCTCACAAAATTACAGCAGAGCAAACATATGGTTTTTCATTACAAATATCTTCTAGATAAAGAATAGATTAGAATTTTTTGTTTCAGATTGGTCATTTGTGCAGTTTTCAAAACACCCCTAAAAAATGCAAGCCAGATAGCCCTGTAATATTTGACAGGGGATCATCAGGATATCGAATTGGGCCAACATGCCAATCACTTTTACTTGTATTCTAATTTTTCAGAGATAAATAAATTTATGTTAAACATTATTATATCCTGGTCCTCAATAAATAATCATACATCCTCAAGAAATCCTTATATGTCCTTGTAAATCCTCATACATCTTCGAGAAAATAGATATGTACCTATAATATTCACCCTACCACAAATTCAATCATCAAGCTTAGGACACGGGGCAGCAATCCATGGCCTGGAACATACTTCTAACTTAGGTCTATATACTGATAATTATGAACTCAAGTAAGTCCTAGGTGAGTTCTTTCTTGAACAAAATTTGGTTATAATTGCCAGGTTCCAGTGATACACTGGAATTTAGAGTTGGAGGCAAATCCATAAATATAAAGTCTCATCTGTAAGGACTCACTTGGGATCAGTATATAAGTATGGTCCTTTTTTTAAATTTGTAGTTGAAATTAAATTAATTATATTATTGGAAGGCATATTGTGAAATTAGTGTACATTTTGGTATTGTACATTTACAATCCTACAAAAATTATGATACATCTGGAAATGGCAACACTGCTCGATTCATATCAAATCCTACAGAAAGATCAAAAGGTATCATAATATTGTAGGATAAAAAAAGCATGATAAATTGAAAAAATAAAATAGATGGACACTTATTCCAATTTGAAACAGTGAAATAAAGAGGTAACATTACAGAAAGAGTAAGTATTTTCATGGAAATATTCACGTTTGTTCAACAGATAAGTTTATATAAGGTTCGACATAAGTTCCGATTTTATTCAACAATCCAATTTATATTAAATACATTAACTTAACAAATATGTGCGATATCAGTAGGTAACTCGTATCAAACCAAATTAGCGCGATAATTCTAAAAAGCGCTTGTTATCATTGTGATAAACCTTTATCTTGGAAAAATTACTTAAGTTCATTCGAAAGTTAACAAACTTCCAATTAAACAATATTAATGCATTTCCGTCAATTTGAAACGCAATTAGGGTATGGTAATTGGTACCAATCACAATGAATTGGCCATTTCTTAATTACATGAAATTTGTTAAATAAAAATATAACTTACCTCATTCAAAAAAGCCGTGACATCGTAAACTTCGTTGTGTATAGCGATCCAAGTACTTTTGTTGTCGTTGTGTTTCTTAACTTCCGCTAAACTGTATTGTGTAGGCATCTTAATTGAATATATTTTTTTTCTAATAACTTGTGTGCTAGACTAACACCTAAGATGATAACTGCTCATATAAATCAATGGATTTTGTTACGATAAATAAGAACCTTGATCTATGACCGATGACGACGTTTTTTTACCAACCAACGAACCATTAACCAACACAAAACACAACACACCAACTAAAACAATCCGTCAATGGTCAATCCGTAATTTGTGACGTTTTCTCTCGTCTCGTGCTCGTGTTGTGGGTTGTGTAGTGTACTTTTCATCAGTGTTGTTCCTAGGGATTTTTGAATTGTACAACTTTCAGTGTCAAAATTGTACACTTTTACTTTCGATTGTACAACCACTAATTAATCTTCTTCTTTTTTATTGACAGACTATGGCCTACTACTTTCCCATGCTTAAAATTCTTCTTTTTTCCAGTTTTAAACATATTTTTGATGTAAAACGGTGTACTGATTGGTCGCGAATGGCGCCAAATTTAAACTTTTATTTTTTTATTAATTTTAATGCATGTTATTTAACAAATCGTAGACTTTTTGCGCGAAGAAAACCTTTTATATACCCGATTTTACATAAATATTTAGTAATTTCAAATTGTACAACATTTCTGTCTTTTTTCAAAAGTGCGTACAACATAACCGCATAACTGATTGTACAACTTTTTGTACAATTGTACAACCAGGAACAACACTGCTTTTCATCTTTTCATGCAACAATCGCAACAATGCAACCAACTAACAAAAAATTATCCGAATTGTCCGATATCGGATTCGCAGCTGTGCGTTCTCGACGTCCGACCTCGGACATAGAACTTCAAATTCTGTATGTCCTTCGGCGTCGACGTGCTGCCGTCTTCCTTGTAGTTTGAGTAAATATTTATGGCTCGTATTTGTTAAGGCGAATACCTAAAGGGGGTTCCACAAGATTTAATTAACCAATTTTTTCTTGGACCTTTAAATTTGCATATTCTCAAATCGACTTATCATTCTTCCACGACGCTCACCAACTACTTTTTTTTCTGGGCATAAGGTATAGGGTGACCATATTTCTTTTTGACCAAATGCTAGACGCCAGAGATTCGAGGACCTTTTTGTTAGCTCTTCAACCCAAAGATAAAAAACAGAATTATGCAGAGTTTTACGACGTTTCAGTAAATTATGTATCACATATTACATTTGCTGGACAATAACTACGCCCAGACAGCACACCAAATCCTTTGGATATCTACTGAACATCCCATCCACTGAATGTCCAGTCCATGGTGGATATCTATTTTATATCCATGAAATGTAATTTATAGACATGCAAAATGTCGCCATTGTGGCTAATAGTACCGTTCAGATATTTAAAATTGATTTTTTTAAGGTGTATTCAATAGGGAGTTTTAGCAAACAGCCGCTAACCATCCGCTAACGTTACCTTAGGGATAGACTGTAATCTACTCCGTTCAATGTTAATGAAAAAGGTCACAATCTAAGTTTAACGTAACGTTAGCGGAAATCTTACGTACATTTGCTAAAACTCTCTAATATCCCATGGACATCCACTAAATAATCAAAGTCTAAGCGCGGACGCAAACCATCGTGGATATCCTAGATGTAATTTTTGATTTTGCTTCCTAAGTATAGATGGCGATACCACTTCCGTATCTACTCATGCTTAACCCGCCGTAATTGGGTTCGATCGACATTTTTTTTACAGATTCCATATTCCATTAGAGACTGGAGTCGAGAATTTCCATATATTGCTGAAGAGTCCTAATAAGGATGACTTTCTCCTTAGTGCCCTTAGTGGGCAAAATCAAAAGCAGATTGTTGGAAATATTTTTTATCTCTATTTTCTTTCGACGTTAGACGTTATTCAATAATCATTGGTTACTTATGAACCTCTACTAAAGATACCTATAAAATATTTTGCTGAATATCTGAATTCTATATCCTGGGATATAGACGGACATTTGGTTGGATATCCTCAAAATATATTCTGTGGATATCTCTGGAATTTCTTGTATTGTGTGGAGATACTCATTAGATATTTTGCTGAATATCCATAGGATATCTTCTATATTCTGGATATAGACGGACATTTGGATATCCATATTAGATCCACGGAATATTTCTGATATCCTGTGGATATATTGGATATCCACAAAAGATATTCCGAGGATATCTCTGGGATTTGGTGTGTTGTCTGGGCGATTTGTTAGACAAATACGGCAATTTGTTGGACAAATATGGCGTTACTGTACGTTTGCTATACTGGTTGTACAATACATAAGGGGCAACCTAACATAATAATTATTACGATACGTTTGTAAAACATAAAATCTAGGAGCAGTTTGGTAGACAGCAGTCCGCTCTAAAAATGCATCGTTAGAAATTGAGTGTTGTTTAATACTGTTTGACGTGCAACATGCGACAAAATTCAGGAGATGATTGCAAGTATGAAATTAAGATGGGTCTTTCCTATAACAAAATTTCCTCAGCCCACCCCTTTCCGATATATCACCCTTAAAAAGGTGGTGACTAAAATTGAGTTTTTATTTTTTTCCCAAAATTTCAGTAAAGCTAGAAACTTGAAATTTTGTAATTTTCGTGCACTCGCAAAGGACTAACCACGGGTATTTTTTCAATATTCCTGTTACATGATATGGGGGTAAAATTGGCAACCCTTACTTTATTTCATATCAAAACTTTTTTTCGAGATGAAGTTTTATGAAATAAACTAATTATAACTTGAAATCCTTGTTTTATTAAATTACATTTTTTCCCAAAACCAATAGCTGCTGAGAAAAAAAAATAAACACCATAATTTATAATTTTTTTAATAAATTGAGTGGAAAACAGTAAAAATGTAAAATGTAATATGATTCATAATAAATGCTGGAAATGACCACCTCTAACCAAAATACATTACAGAATTTCAAGTTTCTATAGCTTTACTGAAATTTTAGAAAGAGGTACGCTGAGGAAATTTTGTTATAGGAAAGACCCATCTTAATTTCATACGAGCAATCACCTCCTGAATTTTGTCGCATGAATTTAGAAACACTCTGTATAACTCCTTTAAAAGAAATCTTTGTTTTTCTCTTGCATGTTTTTTTTTTCATATATTTTTTGTTACATATGAAACCGGTGTGAAGTTAGTAGCCAAAAACTGGTAGCCCGTTTACCGAGTACTCCCGAACAATACAGTGGCCCGTTAAAAAGGGCAATACGAACGTTTATTTCAATTTTACGTGTTAATTGAAAATTGAGGTCGTTTGTATTTTAAATGTTATTTTCCTTATATAAATAAATTAAAAAAATAAATACATGAAAAATAATACATTCATAATGAAATTTCTTAATATTCATATTATTAAAAATAAAATATCAAAGCAGAATTGATACCACGTATAAGTTTTAATACAAATAGTTACTGACCAAAAGCAGATTCGCTTAGAACCCTCGGAAGGGGTAGCAATCACACCCCCATTTCAAAAAATAAATATTTGACGCACTTAAAAATGAGATATCAAGTTGGGATTAATACCAAGTATACCTTCTATTGCAAGAAGTTACTGGCCAAAAGAACAATCGCTTAGGACCCTAGTAAGGGGTAGCAATCTCACCCCCACTTCAAAAAATAAATATTTGACGCACTTAAAAATGAGATATCAAGTTGGGATTAATACCAAGTACCTATACCCTTTAATGCAAGCAGCTACTGGGCAAAAGAAGAATCGCTTAGGACCCTCGGAAGGGGTAGCAATCCCACCCCCATTTCAAAAAATAAATATTTGACGCACCTAAAAATGAGATATCAAGTTGGAATTAATACCAACTATACCTTTTAATGCAAGCAGTTACTGACCAAAAGAAGAATCGCTTAGGGCCCTCGGAAGGGGTAGCAATCCCACCCCCATTTCAAAAAATAAACATTTGACGCACTTACAAATGAGATATCAAGTTGGGATTAATACCAATAATACCTTTTAGTTACTGGCCAAAATACAATCGCTTAGGACCCTCGTAAGGGGTAGCAATCTCACCCCCACTTCAAAAAATAAATATTTGACGCACTTAAAAATGAGATATCAAAGTGGGATTAATAACAAGTATATCTTTTATTGCAAGCAGTTACTAGCCAAAAGAAGAATCGCTTAGGACCCTCGGAAGAGGTAGCAATCCCACCCCCATTTCAAAAAATAAACATTTGACGCACTTACAAATGAGATATCAAGTTGGGATTAATACTAAGTATACCTTTTAATGCAAGCAGCTACTGGACAAAAGAACAATCGCTTAGGACCCTCGGAAGGGGTAGCAATCCCACCCCCATTTCAAAAAATAAATATTTGACGCACCTAAAAATGAGATATCATGTTGGGATTAATACCAAGTATACCTTTTAATGCAACCAGTTACCGGCTAAAAGCAAAATCGCTTAGGACCCTCAAAAGAGGTAGCAATCCCACCCCTATTTTAAAAAATAAATATTTGACGTACTTAAAAATGAGATATCAAGTTGGGATTAATAACAAATATACCTTTTAATGCAAGCAGTTACTGGCCAAAAAAAGAATCGCTTAGGACCCTCGGAAGGGGTAGCAATCTCACCCCCATTTCAAAAAATTAACATTTGACGCACTAAGAAATGAGATATCAAGTTGGGATTAATACCAAGTATACCTTTTAATACAAGCAGTTACTGGCCAAAAAAAGAATCGCTTAGGACCCTCGGAAGGGGTAGCAATCTCACCCCCATTTCAAAAAATAAATATTTGACGCACTAAAAAATGAGATATCAAGTTGGGATTAATACCAAGTATACCTTTTATTGCAAGAAGTTACTGGCCAAAAGAACAATCGCTTAGGACCCTCGGAAGGGGTAGCAATCCCACCCCCATTTCAAAAAATAAATATTTGACGCACCTAAAAATGAGATATCAAGTTGGGATTAATACCAAGTATACCTTTTAATACAAGCAGTTACTGGCCAAAAAAAGAATCGCTTAGGACCCTCGGAAGGGGTAGCAATCTCACCCCCATTTCAAAAAATAAATATTTGACGCACTAAAAAATGAGATATCAAGTTGGGATTAATACCAAGTATACCTTTTATTGCAAGAAGTTACTGGCCAAAAGAACAATCGCTTAGGACCCTCGGAAGGGGTAGCAATCCCACCCCTATTTTAAAAAATAAATATTTGACGCACTTAAAAATGAGATATCAAGTTGGGATTAATAACAAGTATACCTTTTAATGCGAGCAGTTACTGGCCAAAAGAAGAATCGCTTAGGACCCTCGGAAGGGGTAGCAATCTCACCCCCATTTCAAAAAT